AATATGGCTCTGAAGATTTTGTAATCATCATGTTTAATACTAATAACATCAGCAATAATAAAAGTCTGAATAGTGCTTTGAAACAAATTATGCCAGTCAGCAAAACCACCAATCTATTACTCGTTTCAGAATGCAATACACCACCCGATCAAATCATTATTAGAAAAATTAAAAATGTAATATTTAGGTTTAGAGAGACTAATATAAATTCATATTTGAAGTACTTGGTAGACTATATGTATCCAGGAACCAAGACTAACATAATGAATACAGTAATCAAATAACAAGCAAATAAGAATATAGTTTTGAAGACAGTAAAAATTAATAATGATATAGTACATTTATCACAAAACTCAACCGAAGATAATAGAAATTTTTCATTAGATCAGGAAATAACTCGAAATCAACTGGAAACTCAACTGTTTCCAAACTGAAAATATCAATGGCCCAATCTATTCGACATAAACTAGATGATCTAACTATATTCATTATCAATCAAAATTTTCCTGACCTTATCTTATTGACGGAGCACTGGCTCAAGGAAAATGAACCATGTTATATTCCAAATTATAGAATAGTTTCAGACTTCCGTAGAAAAAAAATGAATAATGGCGGCACTATGATACTAGCTAAAAATGACTACCTAGCTACATTTCAATAAGAAAATATTTCAATGTATAATTATCTTCTAGTAGAGCATACATTTGAGTTTTCATTCGTACTCAATAAAACAAATAATTTGTATTCACTATGCATTTACAGAGCTCCAAATTCTGATCCTAACATATTTTCTGAAAACCTTGAAACAATTCTCTCACAAATATCAGTAAATTCAAAAATCATACTAGCTGGAGATTTTAATATAAATTTTGCCGATGATCCTCAATGACCCAAACACTGAAAAATCTGATCATATCTTTCAATTTGACAATGCATATAACCGATCCAACTCATGTTTCCCAGCATTCTGAAACAATTATAGATTATGTATGTTCCAATTTGAATGACGAAGATGTTGAAACTATAATCATTCATGCAGGTCTCTCTGACCATGAGGTAATATCAACTCCATTCTCCATAAATGGTCAACGAAAACAAATAATGCAAAGGTATGGTAGAATCTACCAGTAAAAAAAACTTCGACATATTCAGAGAAAAATCAAGGTCAATAAATTGGAGAGAAGACTACAACACTCTCGAACCTATAAATGTTTTCCATGAAAAACTAAAACGTATTTTCCAATGTTGTTTTCTAGTACAGAAGATTAAAGCAAAAAATAAAAGGAAGCCTTGGATAACTTCTGGTATCAGAGTCTCAGTGATGAATCTGCGATCATTGCAATATATCAATAAATACATGTCCGATGGAACTCTTCTCATCATATATAACCAAATATAAGCATATTCACATATCTATCATTGAAGCTGCCAAAAAAAGTTCTATTGGAATAAAATTGACAAGGCAAAAAATAAAACTCGGGAAAACTGGCCCATTATAAATAACTTAAGAGGTAAAGCTGCAAAACTCCCCGAACAACCAATAATAAACCCAAACATACTCAATAACTTCTTTTGCACTATAGNACTTATATATTTTTATTTTTATGTTTTGTTCTTTTTACAACTAGACCAAAGATATATGTATTATCTATTGTTTATATCTGCAAATTTTAACCATTTTATATAAATCACTGACAAATTAATAGGCATATACTATTGTATTGTACATGTAAACCATGCTTTGTCAACAAGAGTCTTTCCTCTTAGACAATAAAGTACATTGATTGATTGATTGCATGCCTCAGCAACTTTGATGCTTTATAATGCTCAGACATGTCCGGGAGCTCTGCCCACTCAGTCCGCTTAGATTGAAGCAACATACTTTTTATTGCAATCCTCAAAGTTTATTTTGCAAATCCTAGACTTTTGTTTTTCAGTGAACCTGTCTTTCGTGTTGCCCAATACTTATTGAGCAATTTTCACCATTCTATAGGTGCATTTTCGTTCATATGGAAAATTTATAAACTTTTGAATCTTCTTCTTTCTGAAAAGTCGAGAATTTACAAGGGCTCTCTCAAAATTTTCTCTTCTTAATCTCATCCCCTATGTTTGAATAACTTTTATTTCGATATCATATTTCACTTTTGTTCAAGAGGAACGTGAGTAATCTAAGGTTAAGAAAATGTAGTTCCGCCTTTTTTCATTGTGGACAATGGTTCGGGTTGTCAGGAATATATCTGAAAGTGCTAGTATTCTTCCTATACCTACACATCAAATTACAAACCCTTATCGGCGTATCTTATAACTAAAACATCAAAGAATGATCGTTATTTTCAATTTCATACGTAAATTTCATTTTCGGAGATCTGTTTGTTGAGATAAGATATAAAATCATCTACGACCTCATTCATATTTGTCTTCAAAATGGCAAATACTTCTTCCACATACTGGATCCAAGTCCGTGGAAAATTATCTGATTCTTCTCTGTTTGTAGAAACAGTTAGTGAATTGAAAGCCATTCTGTGTGCTGAATGTACTCTTCGACTTCAGGGTTCCTCAGGGTACTGTGTTAGGTCCTACGTTATTCAATATTTATATTATTAATGATTTGTATTATATCCAAATTGAGAGAAATATTTACAGAGGATATAGCTATCTACTATATAAAACAAAGTCGCAAAATCGTGTTCGTTAAACTATTTACATCTCAAGATTGGCTGGACCAATTTTCATGATTTTAGACATGTTAGATTTGTCTTCGTCAGGAATAACAGAATGAGTATTCAAACATTTGAAAAGTTACGAAAAAGTCAAAGAATAAACAAATTGACGACGTTTGGTTTGTTACATTATAACAGTAGTCATGGTGCGTGCAAATAGAAATGAGATTATGACATTTGTGATTGTACGGGCATGTTATGTTATAAAAGAGCAAAATCAGCAATATCCATCACAGTTTTCTTTGAAAACAATTTTTGGTGCAGGACTCAATGTTTCTTATTGTTTATCGGGTATAAGCTAATAAGCATTCTTAGGGCCGCGTTATGTCGATGGATATAGGCCGAGACCGCATATGCTCTACATGCTGATAGCAATTGCATTAGGGTCTCGGGCGCCTCCCGGCAGGCGCTGCACTGTGTTTCAGGAACCTCTATACCCATCACGAGACTGCGGTAGACTAAGGTGTTGAAGACACCATCCTGGCAAGCTACAATGAACCCCTCAGTTTTCGACTTCAGCCCACTCGACCTGAGAAAAGTGAACGTCAGGCGCTTTGATAAGCCAAGGTCTCCAATGTTATTGAAGAAGACCCCATGCATTGGCTTATCCTTGTGTTTCCGCAGACGTAAGGTGATCTCTGCGGCTTTTATCTGAGCTTTTTGCTGAACGGGTTCCAACTCGGTGACAGAGTTGTGGTCACCTCGTTCAGTGTCGAAAACTATACCGGCTCGGGCAGCTGCCCTAAAGAGAAATGCTTCATCATTATTATTATGGTTGTTATTGTTACTATTTTTTTTTCACCATAGTGTGCGCTGGTCAGGCCCTATCCCTATCCCCCGATACATTCGGGAGGGCGCGCCAGCATTATCAACCAATGACCACTCCCCACACCGTGGGGTAAGTGATCATTGGGTCCGAGAATCATGTGCCCTGAGCAAACGCNAGCTACTACTTTGTGCTGATACGGGTGGGTGGACAAATCATGAATGATAATATTTGTATGTGCCGGTTTACGATACATTGAAAAAATCATGTTCATTGTTAACTTTCGTCATTGTCAAGTCCAAAAAAATTATAGAGTCGTCTTTTTCCATCTCCACGGTGAATGTGAAGGAGGCGTGAGAGAATTGATGAAATTCAAGAACTTAAGTCAATTGTCTGTTCGTTCGTGTGAAACATACCAGGATACCATATACATATGTATACCAATACACGAAACTTCTTACCAGTGGGTTACTGTGTATTTTTTGCTCCAAATCGTCCATGAAAATTTCTGCCAGAATGGAACTACGTAGGTTTTCCATCATGAGACCTTAGCAGGATCAGTAAAAAAAAAATTATTGAATTGGAAGTAATTTTGTGACAAAAAAACCGTAAGCAAGTCCAATATTTCCTGTTTCACTACAGGATTGATTGACCTTTTGTCCAATATATTCTCTACAAAAGTAATCATTTCATTCGGAGGAATACTGGGAAAAAGATTCTTCACATCGAATGAAATCAATTTGGCATTATCCGGAAGTATAACATGTTGAATTTCATTGATCAAATGGTATGAATTCCTCAAACTGAATTTTGATTTAAAATTGGTGTAGTTTTGAATAATTGCGATGAGTTTTTCAGATATTTTAACCGAAGAAGCTGTGACAAAAGAAACTACCGGTCTAATCGGGTAGTTATATTTGTGTAATTTAATCAACGAATAAAGTGGTTGTTGGTTCATGGCTAACGATCTGGATTTTTCTGTTTCATCCATGACACAATAAACTGTATTAATGAATTTTAATATGAATTTTCATCAAGTATCGGCCAGTTATATTCAATCCTCCCATTTAGCCGGAAATGCCATCTTTTTTTATTCGGAGGAACGCCCTGTAGGTTCATTTTTTATCTTTAAGTACGCAATAAGAAATCACATTCGAAATAAGCACAAATATAGCTCCACAAGCAATTGAAATATTTGAATGTTCCGAACTGGTGGTCTACCTGTAAAATATATAAATGAGAAAGTTGCTCATTTTAGAGCTTATTCAAATAACGTTCGAAAAGTTAGTGAATTTCGATCAGTTTCAGAGATTTAATTGTGTATATGGACCTAACAAAAATCATCCAGTATGAGTGTACTTTTCTAGTGACGAATTCGTTTAATTGATAAATTCAAAGGAGCTCTAATTTAACAGACTGTTCATCTCTTGCAGTTTCTGATTTTCCCATGTTGGTTTTACTTATCCTAAACATATGTAAATATTTTTGTATAAATATAATAATCAATATTTCAGACAAAATACACCTTCAATAAACCACCTATGCCGTCTCTGAAAGGGACCATGGACTTTTGTGAAATTATGAAAGAACTTCAATATCCTCAAGTGAAGCAAGGTTTGCGATCGTTAGGTCTACCAAACAGATGCCCTCTTTCGAAGGTAAGTTCATGAATATATACATCGTTACAAAAGCGAACGTGGCTATGCTAGTGCTAAAAAATCGATGCTTCAACGAAAGTGAAGTTTTGCTATTTGCTGATGATTTGAAATGTTTCAAAATAATCAAAAGTGAGACCGATACATTCTACATTCTCCAAAATGATACATATTACCTATCTAACTAGAGTACGCAATCAATATGTGTTTGAACGCATCCATATTATTCGCTTTCATCGAACATCGAATAGTATAAATAATCTTCCTTACATTTTACGTTTTAAACCAAAGATTTAGTTGTAATCCTAGACTCCACACCCAGCTATAAATCACACATTTCCGCTGTAATTGAGAAATCCACGAAGATGTTCAGCTTTATGAAGAGTACCACCTGCGATTTTACTAACACCCCTGCTATCAAATCTCTTAATTTTCCCTGGTTAGATCCCATCTCGACTGTTTTCCAATAGTTTGGTACACTCATTAGGTTACACATAAAGTGAAACTCGAGGCTGTACAGCAGAATTTCCTGAAAAAATTTCCTAAAAAATGGAATTTTGGTCTGTAGCACCTACACCAAACACCCTGTATATTTAAAAATTATATCAAAATATAGCTCTCATGAACTCCTAAAACTTTTGTATGAAACATTTTTGTGTATCTCCTTCAACAAACCAGATATTGCCTGTACCATAAAATGTGGGACACCCGGTATTGCCATCAAGATGCATGTACACTATAACAATGTTGCATTAGAACGCATATTGAACATACATTCTCCCGAGGCAAGCAGAAAACATAGAGACCTAATTCTTCTATTTAAAATTATCAATGGACTGAGTACCAGCCCCGAGCTCTCTCCAAATTATCACTTCTTGTCCCCAATCGTTCAACTAGGCAGATGCAAATCTTTTATTTTTTTCTCACATTCAATTACTCATACTGATACTTCATTCCCAGAACTCTTCGATTAGATAAATCCTTGAATAACCCTTCAAATCTTTAATTTTTTGCTNTTTGTGTTTTATTGGGAAAAGGGCAAGAAAACTGGAGATAAAGCTCCACATAAACCAGAACAGAACGCTACACGCACATGGGCCATGTGTGTGTGCGTGAGATCATTTGACTTTAAACGTAATTCAGATGGTTGACATCGAAACTTTGCGTAACGACTTCATGCTAACCCTCCGCGGTCTGAAGGCGATCTCTTTATACTCCTATCCTGATATATAATAATAATTATTATATCCACACAAGAAAATGTACACCCCCTGTATATGAGATCGTTCAGCTGAAAGGAATAGTTTTTTTATTGAATGTGATAACGCGATAGTCGTGGCCACCATAACAGACCGAATAGACGGCGAATAATTATTTAACGATACAGAGATCACTTCGCGAAAGAGTGACTTGAAATACCTCTTATTTCAATACGCTCAAGAACATCCAGGACTACTTATGAGTTCGTACAAGACCCCTTTTTACCTCAAATCAATTAAACCGAATAGACCGCGAATAGTTATCAATACCGAGATCACAGAATAGGTAACCTATGATGTGCCGAGATCACTTCGCGAAACAGTGACTTGAAATACCTCGTGTTTCATTTCACTCAAGAACCCTCCCAAGACTCTGCAGGCGATCCAGCCGACCCACTCAAGAGTCCGCACGCGACTGCTTGAAAACTTTTCCAAAACATTTCAGCCACAATTCCGTTAGGAGTTGCAGTTCAAAATCTACCAGAAAATCTTAAGAATCAGATGACTCTGAAATAATTCCAAAGACTAGTACTCTTATCACCCTCTTCTAGTCCGACGGATAGGTATTCATATCGACAATTGCAGGCTTGTTGTTTATATACCTGATCACTTCAGAGTTATCCCCATTTCTTTCAACTGTTTTTTCACTGCCATGTAATGTAGTAATTCCTTTGTTTTATAGTTTGGTCCTCAAAGGTTTTTACTCATGCCACAGCTTGTTTCTTGCTTTTTAATATTTACATCGCCTCCTTCTGATTGTTGTTAAAATTATGAGTAGGCAATTTTGCCCGATAAAATCTCACCGATTTTATAGGGGAAAATTTTAATTCCATACTTTTTAAACGGGAAAGAAAGACATTGGCTTCCTACTTCTGTTTTCTACTTCATACAAAAACATATGGGAATCTTCCAAAAATGTATCCCTTTCGAATTATAAACATTTTTGATATTCCTCATATTCTCCAATTTTTGTTGTCTCGTGAAAGTAACATGGGATTCAGTTATATTTTCCATTCTGTTAATCTGGCACTACTTTAAAATGGTTTCAATTAATTATAATCCGATAATTTCTTATAATCTCAGGAACATTCTCATTTGGAACAAATTTTTTTTCAATAAGGTGCACCTTTTGATGCAAATTTCAATATTTTCCATCTGCCAGGACTTCGACAAAAACTCTTGTTTTGAGGAGCACACATTCGTACCATTCTGTGGTAAAAATAGACATAGATAGTATAATCACACTCAAACGGTGATTTTACATCTTTTTGTTGGAGAAGGAATAATCCTCAACAATGACTTATTGTTTTTGTCGAGTTATTGTTTCGAACACGCCTGAAGAAGCTATTGTAAAATGAAATACGTGTAGCGATCTTGTAAACTATGAAAATCTCACAATGAAGTATTTTTTGAATGTGTTACAATGGATTTTCATTGGCCAGTTACATCACATTTTTTACACATCATTATAATTTGTGTGGCAATATTTCAGGCATATTGTAAAAATATTATAAGTGACCCATACCCAAGACTAAAAGATGCATGGGGTACAGTTACAACTCATTCTACAAAACTGGGGAATGCAAATTCTAATAATTTGGAATTGGAAACGGCGAGGCGTATGCAATTAATACCGTAGAAGGAATAACTATACTTAGTTTATTATAGGTACGGGTGAAATATTCAAATCAACTTGTTCAATTGATGACTTTTTTATTTTATAGAAATTCACATTGAATGTAGTTCATTATNCAATGAGGAAATATTGAGATGAAATTTCCAAATATTCCCGGGAAACTAGTAAGACTAACTAAAATGACTATGAAGCGAAAGTCTTATCAGAAGACGGAACTCTATGCCCAGCACTACATTATATTTCGAATTTACTAAAACCCAAAAAATGAAGTATATTTGTTACACAGGGCATCTCTACTATATATCACAGTATAAATCATTTAAGAAGTTGTCGAATTTATAAAAAAAGTAACAATGATAGAATTACATATTGCACATTAAAATAAAAGTTAGTAATTCTTTATCCCAACCAATTTTCAGTGTCGATGTTAACTGTAATGATAGTTTCGGAATCAACCAATGGGATCAAAGATCTTCTGAGCTATTGACAATAAACCTCGTTTCGTTTTAGGTGTAATATTCAAATTAATGAGACTGGATAAATCACAATGTAGAATATCTCTTTTGGAATCCCATGAAATACCTAAAACAGACACGTTTCTTTCATTGGAAAAATCGCCAGCAAAATTATCCGATGAATTATATACCCATTGTGTGAGGTTGAATTTTCCAATCGACATTAACTCTTCTGATTGACTAATAAAAGTGTCCAATTCTTCAATATTATTGACACTGGTGACACAGTTGTCAACGTAAAACGATGTTTTCAATTTATCAGCAGTGTTTTTCAAATGAATTGGTGCCCTATCTAAATGATGACTGATAGTTGCACCTAACAAGAAAGGGCTAGGCCGCAAACCAAAAACCACTCGACAGTGCCTAAAGATTTTCTTTTCGGTTTTTGATTCATCTACCCACCAAAGAAACCTCAAATTGTCCCTTTCATTGGGATTAACACCAATTTGCAAAAATGCTTTTTCTATATCAGATGTAACTCCTATTAGTCCTATTCTGAATTTTATCAACAATGAAGGGATCAATTCTAACAGATTAGGACCTTTTTCTAAACACGTATTTAGTGAATTTCCGTTATTATCCTTTGTTGATGCGTCGAATACTGGCCTAATTTTAGTAGTAATACTATTTTCTTTAATAACGGCACGATGAGGTAAATAGTGACTTGGCATATTAATTGAATCTCCCCTAACTTCTTCTATAATACCTAATGATTCCCATTCTGCAAAAACCTTACTATAGTCTTCAAATTTTCCTAAACTGATTAACTTTTTTGTTGAAGACAATAATCTTGCTTCAGCTATTTCTTTATTGTTAGAAAGTTTTGGATGACCTTCTTTCCAAGGAAGATTTACTTGATATCTACCATCATCTGTCTGCAAAACCGTTTCTTTAAAATACTTTTCCGTTTTAAAATCAATAATTTCTTTTGGTGTGGTATTTGCGGGCTCTTTTATACCCAA